TGGAAGTAATAGTCATATTCCATCAAGTTTCCTGCATTGTCCTAGGTTGGTCACTTCCTCCTTTTGTTTGTTTAATAGAGATCTCTGAGTGAAAGGACAAGTCTTGACTATTACTGGAAAAGGATGCCTCCAGTGAAACAACTGAGCTGGCTTCTAGAAAGATAAATTTATTTGGCCTGCATGAAGCAACACAGAAGCCCTCTTCTGTGGTCCAAGGGCAACTCCCCTGATTGCAATCCATGTGATGTGTCTCCATGTCCACTTAACATATTTACCATGTAGGTTCATCAAATATGTGGCCACCAGGCACATTACTGGATTGAAAGAACATGGATTTTATTTTGAGGACTTACTCTGACAGTGGAGAATTTCTAGTATGATTCAACCTTCACTATCAACTATAGTCCTTAGTCCCTAGGGTTAATGTTTATCCTTCAGTCCATTTTATAAATTAAGCAACTGAGACATTTAACACACACTGCTAGAGCTTAAGGTAAAACATGAGTGGTTTGTATGGCAGTTTTATCTCATGGCCATAACCAAACTACTTGCACAACAAATGTACCAGACCCGTATGCTTCAGTAGGTGCAGCATCTGCAGTAATGTAATTCTGCCGTTTAGCCTCTGCTGCATGAAGCTGCACTAAGGAGCTTTTTAAAGTTTGTTTTTGTTGGGTTTTTTAATTGGAAGAGAGCTCCTCAGTCACAATCAAGATCAAGAGAAGCTGTATCAGATCAATCAGTCTCAACTTCCTTGTTTTTCAGATAAGGCATACTTCATGTAGCAGGTGTTCACAGTCAAAAACCCACCAAACCCAAATGTGCCAGAAGGTGGTTATCTGTACAGACCAGGCCTCGAGGTGAGGGAGGGAAAACATCCCAGGCTTAGGTTAAAAACATACGACAGAAGACTGTAAAGACCCAGGCATTTTTTCTGGAAATACTGTTCCTGATAGACCCTTCCAGTGTGTTATATTCTACACCAGGATCCTTTTTAGGGGCCTTTTTTTACAGTAAACTTTATGGTAATGGCAGAAATGTTGACATTTATTGCAGCAGCATTTTCCTTGAAGGAAATAAAAGCTTCACTGAGAGCTGAAAACAAAAGTAGCATTCAGACTTTTGCCAAGAACTACTTGCTAGCACTAAAGGCCTGACCTTATCTAAGCAGTAATATCTTCCTTCCTGGAGCCTTGCAGCACGTTCCAAGAACTCTGGAACTTGTGTTGAACAACATGCTGCTGCCACTTAGCCTTAGATCAGTAATGATGCTACTGAATGCCAACAAATTTCACTCCATGTGGAATGCTACTTGCAGTTTTAGATAAAAGGCGTTTGTTACTGAAGGGAACACAAGGGCGTGTGTTAGTCCCACCATCTTTGTTTTGTTTATCTTATCTAGATTTATCTTCTCTTTGATTCAGTGTCAGTTTTTGCAGCAGTGATTATTACAGTGTTCTGCACAGAAACTGGAGTGGAACTTATACAGGTGGAGAAATCAAGGAAGCTGGATTTGAAGTAGTGAGATCCAAAAAAATATAAATAAACAAGATAGAAACCTGTTGAATGTGGACAAAGTTAGGTTTTACAGCAGTGCTCTTTATAACAAAGTTGTCTTTAACACATACAATTATTGTGCACATCATTCATTTTATGAGAAATACTGAGAAACTGTGAGAAAACGTTCTCTACTCAGAAATATTTTAAGGTGCTAGAATTTAACGGAGGCTTCCTATCCTAAAATATTGAGGTTTAATTATGGGTCTTGCTTTGGATTTTAGTTCTTAATTCTTTGGGAGTTCTCACTTGTAATTTTAGACTCCAACTCTGCTTATGATGCAGATGGATAATTGCATGCAGATGAATGTTGTGATGTTTCTGCAAACTGTCTGCCCAGACAGAGCTGCTGATGGTATATGGCAAGAATCTGGAGCATTTTGCACCAATGGGACATGCAAGTGATGTAGTCTCCTCAGATACAGGGGACAGATTGCTGTAACACTATTCAAGGCAACATGCATATGAAAGACCAGGAGCCAAACACGCAGCAGTAAAACCCTAGCTTGTTACAACCATTTAGAACTCAGTTTATAGCATTTCCAACAAATAACACCAATTTTTGCCAACTGCCACCTAGTACCTCTGTATCTCTACTATTGTATCTATACATATGGGATTTACAGGAGTGCTGTTTTCCAGTGAGTTGCAATGCTGAACAGCAGCCAAGGCAGGAAGTGATTATGGCTTAGGAGCTTATGCTGATTGACAACGTGTGATGCTGCAGAGGAAATATCACACAATAGAACCTCGGTTAGTTTGGAAATAGATTTAAAAAACAGGGCACATTAACATGTACACAGTCAATAGGACTGGGGCCCACCTTTCTCCTAACAATCAGATCATTAGCAGTAGGAGTGTGCAGGATGATTTCCATGATTACTGGAAGCGTAAAATGCATGAAAGTGTGTGCTCAGCGATGCTGCGGAAACAGCCTTCTTGCTTTTTGCCGTTTCTTCTACTGCTTGTCCTAACTCATCCTGGATACAAGAGTCAGGCGTAAGTGCAGCTTAAATCTAGGAAGTGCAAATGCTCAAAGTCCTTGAAAAAGTGGGCTTAAGATTCTTTTGTGTAACTATCATGGGCTAGCGGCTTGCTCTCTGGAGTTGCACACTGCTTCCCTGAGGAGTCGTCAGCTCACATTCATTGGTCAGGTTCCAAGTGGAAACAGTCTCTGATGAGAAATGGAACAGAATCCAAATATTTGGTAGTTATGATTGTTATGTGGGTGAATGAGTTTTTATCTAGAGACTAGTTTAGCTTCTTGCATCGTTTATAACATCCATCAACTAATTTTTAGTTTTATGCTTCTGATTTCACCATTTTTCTTAAGTCCAACCACTGCACAAAGCAGTAAAGGCAACCATCAATCTGGGATTCATACAATTTTATTTCTGGATAAGACATGTATAAGCATCCCAAGTGCCATGTCCTCTCCAAGATAATCAAGAGTGTCCCCACAGTGACACTAGAGATGGACTTTCAAGAGAAGGAACAGACTTGACTTCCCTTTCATTCCTCACCTCCTGTCCCATTGTGATTGATGCCAACACTCAGCTTCCATGCTGCTGCTCCACCAGCCATGAACTTTCTCCTCTCAATGACAACTCCAGCACCGAGCAGGTTAGGAACAAACTTGAAAACAGGTCATACCAGAGTTCGTCCCAACGACAACACAAAGCGAAGGCCCAGACATCCTGCATCTTTCTCGGTGGAGTCCCTAGAAAGTACCAAAAGCTGAACTTCTCTTTGACCAAGCTCTCTGGTGCAGGCCAGAGAAAATTCTTAACATCTTTTCTACAAATTGATCAGCTTCCCACAGGATCAAAACCTGTAGGATTTGCTGATTTTTCATGGCTACTAGACACTCACCTATCACCTTCAGCTCAGACCACAAGGATTGCCCTGAAACACAGAAGTCTGGAAACTGATAATCACATATACCTCATCTCTAGTCCACCATCTTGACACAACTGTGTTTCAAGCCCTCCCAGAGGAAAAGGACACAGATGCATGCTGACCAATTGCCTGGCCTCCAGGAGCAGAGCTGAAGTGAGCAGAGGAGAGCCCTGGACAGTTACATGGGCAGGGAAGGGGGTGAAGAGCAAAGTAAAGGAGGGTAAAAATAAAACAAAGACATGCTAGATAACAAAGTTTATTAAATATCAAGTTCAAACAGTATCTGGAATTAAATACAGTCCATTAGCTTCACAAAAATGTATTAAGAAAAAAGGAACACTGTCACAGCAGCATTCATTGCTTTCCTCACTGCCTGTTAACTCAAGTCCTTGAATTGCTGGGAAAAAGCCCCAATTTTTCCAGCCTCCATTTGTCTTAGTACAATCATTCTTACTTTTCTAGAATTGGGATTTTGTTCTATAATCTTCTGATCTCTAGGGACTGTTGCAGACACTAAATTACAATGACAGATCTTCAGTAACAACAGGCAACTCACTGAAATAAGTAAAAATGCTTGTTTTATTAACAAAAATGGAATGCTTTTGGTAAAATACGGAACTTGAGGACAGGAAAATAATGCAACTACCTTAATACGACAGTTCTGTCAAGCTCAACAATCAAGATTAGTCAGTCTGCTAGTCTGAAAAAATAGATATGGCTCATATTTGCAGTGCAAAATAAAACAACTGTGAACTGTGCAGTATGTAAACAAAATGATTGCCAGAGCCCTTCCCTAACATTTTGTTCAAATCTTATGATTTTGGTACACAGCATCACGGTACTCCTGCACTGCCTTGTGAAGGGGATCCAGATCAGCATTGACATTTTTTGAAGATCCATCAGTAGATACCATGGGAGAAGCTCCAGGAGATGCAGTTTCAAGATCAGCAGTGGCTAGGGAGAAAAGAGACAACATTCTTGATGTTACTTTTACAGTAGAGAGGGGCAAATAGGTCACTGTAAAAATACTATGGGTAACTGGAGAGACTGAAATCCAGAAAGAGATTTTAAAACTTCCAAGAGAACATAACAGTGAAAGGGCTAGGCACAAAGAAAGAAACATTTTTTCCACATTTGCTTCTTAGTCAATGGTATTCCTAAAGCTAGTGAATTATTTCAGATTAAAAGCATACAGGAACAGAAGGGAACTGTCTCAGGGGCTACCTGTTCTGAAATAGCACCAGTCACTGCAAAGTGGTGACTCAGAAGGAACAATTCTCAAATAGGTGTTCTTTGGCCACCGGGCCATATTTTATGCCATGTAGTACAAGCATTCAACTCCTCTTATATTTGCCTTAAACAATGTGGAATGATCTTTGCCTAAAGAAAGGCTGTCTTTTGTCACAGATTATACTCTTGCTTATTCCAAAGTGGATAAGAGCAGCAAAAAACAAGAACTAACAGCAGAGAATGTGCTTGTTATAGTTTAGTGCTGAATGCAATCAATGTACATGGAAGTAGTGATGGCCGAGGTCTGTAAAAAACCATCTCAGTGGTTCTTTTATGTTTGTGATTGTGGACTAACTCTAGTGAAAGATGACTTCAGCTTAAGCCAAGTGTGTCTGTCTGGAGGAAATGGCTTCGTTTTCTTTGTGCTTGATTTTTTCCAGGCAACTGTGTAACATTTTACACAGTATTTTGGCAAGCAGGGAGTTTTTGCAGTCAAGTCTAAACTGGAAAACTAGCAGAAAAAAACACCCATGCTTAGCACAGAAACTAGACAGCTTTCAGGCCATTATTTTCAAGAGTTAGGAGCAGTCACCTTTTGCCTTAGAAGTACTTCCAACAGAATGACACATTACCTTCTTCAAGTATTTTAGAGATGTTTTCATCCAGTTTCCGCTGCATCTAGAATAATGCAGAAGATACACAATTAACATTTTGGTAATACTGCACTTCTAAAACATTCTTAAAATCCACACATAATGTGATAAAATCTAAAAAAAATCATCCCAAGTGGAGACACCTTGGTTTGGGGTTGGATTTTTAATGAAGGGAAACTCTTGGTCAGTCAGGCTGAGGCATTCTTACTGCTGAGCAACACTGACTGTAGCCCCAAACAATCTGCAACTCACCAGCCGGATTATAAGGAGGCATTTAAAAATAAATAGGAGAAAGCACAGTGGAGGCACTGCAATGAAGGTGTGGCTAAAGTCTGATCATCAAAGGCATGAGAATAATGTCAGCTAAATGCTCAGATATACACAAATGCCATCCATAGGGACAAATTCCCTTGAGGCTGGTTTCTGTACTTCCTAAAAGAAGAGATGCAACAGCAGCTGCTGCAGGACTGACACACACCATTGTCCAGACAAAAGAATGAGCCAATGTTCTTAATTTCTCCACCTTAAGATAGAGAATTGAAAAAGATCCTACAGATTATGCCAAGATTTTTATTTATTGTTATTGCAAATGCCATGACACGCTTAAATAAAAATAAAAACAGACGCAGCTTTTTCTTGTGACCTTCGTACTTGGGAAAGACAGCAGCAACCACAGCTTCTGTACAGCAAATGTGGGTTTTACTGGGTAACCACGATCAGCTTGGATCATAGGAAAAGAGCACTTACTCCTCTCTTTCCTAGGAGGTGGTTACTTCTACTACCAATTAAGATATTATCGCTTATGATTCTGACTTCGAAGTCCCCATAAGAAAAATCAGATCTTCTGAAGTCACAGTCTAAGCACTTTATGCTGTTGCTTACACATGACTCCCCACATTTTTTTTTGTCAAGTCAGTAACTCATCAAAGTGAACTTGAAAACAGGCACCATTCAGCTTCCAGGCCTACAATGGCCACAAAGATGCTGAAGGGCTTGGACTACATGAGCTACATGGAGAGGCTGAGAGAGCTGCAATGGTTTCTCTAGTGGAGTAGACAAAGCTCAGGGGCACCTTATCTAGGTATATAAATACCTGGTGGGGGGAGTAAAGAAGATGGAGCCAGACTCTTCTCAGTGGTGCCAAGAAAAAGAACAAGAGGAATGGGCACAAATCAAGATTAGAGGAAATTTCACTTTAACATAAGGATTTGTTCATATTCTTTCCTTTTAAAGTTATAAATGTGGTCAAACACTGGAAGAAGTTGCCCAGAAAATGCTGTGGAGTGTCCACCTTGGAGACGTACAAAACCTGACTGGATATAACCCTCAGCAACCTGCTACAGTTGACTGTACTTTCAGCAGGGGTGGAGTGTGACTAGATCACCTTCAAAGGCCTTGTCCACCCTCACCCATTCTTCATTTCTTTTGCTTTAGTACTGAAGTCCTGGGGAATTAAGCATTTCTAGCAACATGCCGACAAAGAGCTGAAACATGTACCATATACTGAGCAGGCCATGGAGAGCAAGAGCCTCAGGAAGAGAATCACTCTGCATGCCCTCAGGAGCACGCAGTAACTCCATGGGCCAAAGAAGTGGGGACATAAACCAGCAAAACAGAGGGAAGGGCCCTCACTCCAGGACTAAAGGCACAGCTGCAAGCACATTCACCAGCTCCTCCAGAAGAACCACTCAGTGGTACCTTGTTGGAATACTCTGTGCCTTCACAGGTAGTAGAGGGGAGCATGGAGCTGAAAGAACAATGGAAAAGGAACCCCCAGATGCCCAAACCTCTAATAGTTTTCAAGTAGGTACAAACAGCAGTAAAATCCTGGGGAGAAAAGACCCCTAGCATGTGAAATAGGATGCAGGTAACAGAAAAAAAGCAGGAAAACTAATGCCTAGACCAAAGGGTGACCCCAAAACAGCAGCAATCCTAAGCAAAACAGTAGCAGTTGTGTTAGAAGAAATTACTTTCAGAAAAGGATCCCCCAGATTCCCAAATGTCTTTATGATTCTCATCCATGCCTGAGGAAAGAGAAAAGGTAGAAACAAGAACACACTGATTTCTGAAAGGGGAATGAAGAGCCAGGGAAAATACACCTTTGAGGACTATAACTGGCCTCCACTGTTCTCTTCCCCCCACTCCCCTGGAAAAGACAACACAACTAGCTATCCCAAACCTCCTGAGAAGGTACTTCTCAGCTCACTGCACAACTCTTCATACTGGGTTTCTCTGCAGCAGTCACCTTCAAATTCATTTTCAGAAAGCAGTGTTGACTTACTGCTTACCCAAACAGGTTGCTTGAGCACAGAGTAAGTTGGATGGTGTAAGACTCCATGAGGTGATACTCTAGGAACTCAACTTCAGGACACTACTGGCAAGTGGGTAACAAAACTGGCAAGGAGGGGTAAACCAGCCTACTTCTATAGTTTAAATAAGTTCCATTATAACAGCTGAAATCCATAGACTGTCATCTTACAGATTCTTAACTACCACAGAAGGCACAACATTACAAATACATAAAGAATAAAGCAGCCATTCTTTCACTTGGACACACTAACCATTAAAAAATATTGGCACTATGAGAAAAATGTAAATGCATCAGTAAGTTTTAATCAAAACCTATACAGCATAAGTAGACACAATATTTCCAGTATAAAATACCATCCAACATTAAACAATACTGGCTACAAACCTTGTCATGTATCTGGCTGCAGAAACAAAAAAAGAAAAGAAAAGGAAAAAAAAGAGAACAGATTGTTGATTAAGGAGCTGAAGAAGAAAGAAAAACGGCCTTAAGTTCAAAGGTCTTCGGGGAGAAATAACATGACCTACATGTAAAGGAAACAAGTTAAAAAGCTAAAAATACAAAGACTGCTACAATACAAGAGTGCAGACGGAAAAGAAAATGAGAAAAGTAATTGAACTTGAGAGAAGGTGTAGGAGCAAATAGTCCCTTTTTCACATTCTGTAGAAAACTGGTTTCATAAATCCACTAATTCACACTGTTTGCAGCTAGCAGAGTTCACTACTGTTTTCTAAGTCAAGACACATTCATTTTCACCAGCCTTTAGCACATCTGTTAGGATTTCAGCTTAAACATTTGTTAAACCTACCAACAGGACTCCAGTTCCAAAATCTCCTTGCAGTGCTTGCAGCAGACACTCCTAGCCTTAGTCTACAGACTAAGGCAGCAGTTCCCAAGTGATGATACAGACACCACTAACAGTCCCTCACATTTCCCTTTCACTTGCTTCATTTAATTTAGTTCTGGATGATGATGTGCCAATTCATGAGTAGTTTGGGAGTCAGAAGACCAGATCATTAAAAAAACCCTGTCAAAGATCTCTTTACTCCTGTGAAGGACAGGCAATACACACCTACATCCTGCACATGATACAAGTCCTACTACTAAATACATTTCAGCCAACCTCCTTCTAGAGCATAATGAACTGCTGGTTGCTGCAGACACTGACTGTCATTACATGACCAGAATTTTCAAGTACTTGTAATTTATTCCTCATTCTTGAAGCTCTAATAAAAGTGAAAACAAAAAGATCCAAACACTCCAAAGACATATGCGTGTGATTGGGATTTTACTGGTCAGTGAGCTTGTGTCATTACGCATCTTTCTGTATTTTCCAGGTACTTTTTCACTTCCATTTCAAGGTTATTAACTTCTGTAGCATATATATTTGATAAGGGGGAGGGCTATACTGTAATGGAACACTTTTCTTTATAGTGTTTCTTAAGAAGAAAATGCTTATTTTTTGCTGAGCTTGCAACACAGCCATCTTCAAAATATAAGGCTATAGGCATAATCACTGCCATTCGCCTCATGTTATGTAGCGCATTAGGAGAAACCTTTCAAGCCTTCAAACTCCAAATTCCTTAGCTATGTCTAAAGGAAGCAAGTGGGTCCACTTGTCAGATGAGCACTTCTTTCTCAGCATGACTTACCACTGCTTTTTTCTCAGAGTTGCACAGACAAGGAACAAATACCAGCATTTTGAATATTAGCAGCGTGAAGTACTTGCACAGACAGCTTTGACTAAAGCAGTGCAAGACAACTAAGACAACTACCTGAGGTACGCTGCCATTTAAGATCCTTAACTCCCTGTCATGAGAAGCTTCAGTGGCAAAAGCACGGTTCAGCTTGAATGCAAGGCAAGACAAATTCTGTAGAAGGGAACCAGGTTACTGGGAAAGATCTGAGGGATAACTGAAGTGAACAGTGAAGTGGCTTAGAGTAATAAAAACTCTTCTATCTTTAAATAATCTAGTGAACAGGCAGAGTACTAAGCAGCACAACTGGCAAAGCTCTTCAAATCAGACTAAAACTGTCATATTTGAATTCCTTCCTCAGGCTCCAACTTGCCTCCTGAACGGCACAGGACTCTTGCAGAAATGATGGCGCAGACCATGCATCTAGGAATTTTGCATTTGGAAACTGATGGAGATTCACCCACCACCCATTAGCGTATGCAGAGGGATACACACCGATTTTCCCTTTTATTCCAGACTTGAAGCTTTATTTTCCAATTCAATCCTTTTTCCTTAGATGCACATGCCAGGAATCCTGTACTTTCAGTTCCTCAGACATATGATGTGGCTTCTAACACTGTTAATGATGTACTGCACCCAGCTAAGGAAACTTAAGCCAGCAGTTCTAAGTGAAATACGCACTTAGATGCATGTTCTCTAGCAACTACATTTGATACTACAAATGGATTGTAACTTTAAGCTAAAAAGCACATTCTTGCTTATGGATACTCTCCAGCAGTAGTTGAGAACAGTATTTCAAAATGCTTACCTTAGCCACATAGGCTTCAACCCTGCTTCTGGACGATAATGCATTCCCATTTGCACTTAGGAAGCTTCCTCCTAGACTCAGACTTCTGTTCAATGCCAGGTTGTTGCTAAGATGTCCCAGTTCAGTTGAATAGAGAACTGGGTTTGCAGCCAGACCTCCACTGACGATGCTACTTGCAATTAAAGATTTTCTTCTGTTGCGCTCCTGAAGGAGCTTAGCATTGGCTTCTGCTAGTTTCTCATTAGCTCTGAAACATTCAGAAACATACAAAGAATCATCTTTCGGAGTAACACTTCCACAAAGTTACCCTCCAGCTCTTTGACTGTTCAGCTTCTGAAAGCAGGAGGGAGTAAGAATGACTAAATCAAGAACAGCATTTAATCTGCCCAGGGAGGTGGTGGAGTTGCTATTGCTGAAAGTGTTGACGAAGTGTTTAGATGTGGTGCTAGTGGTTGTGGTAGCTGGATTACGGTTGGAGTCAAGGATCTTGAAGGCCTCTTCCAACTTTAATGATTCTATGATTCTATTAAATCACTGATTAGTGGTGCTACTGCTGGAACACTAAAGAAAAATGAAGATAGTTCTCATTAAGGGAAAGCATCTTAAGGAATCTTTCCTCACAAATATGACATATTACACTTACATACACAATGCTGACCAGACACAGATGAGGAATTTTTGGAGGAAAATGCATGAGGAAAAAGTAGAATCTTATTACCACTCCAAAAAACATCTACTTACCTTTCCAGTTTATTCGCTAGGGATCCTTTACTTTTTACTTCCTCCAGATACAGCTGTTTGTATTTCTCCACTTCTGTCTGTGTGGATTCTTTTTGAAAAATACTGTCTTGTTGGGTGTTTTTTATCTTGTCCAATTCCCATTCAAGATCTCTAATTCTGTGTTTTAGCTGGTTTCTCAGGGAGGCATGATGGCTAGCTCGGATTTGTTCTAAGCGGTCCTGGGAGGCTGCCTGTGCCTGAAGCAGATAACGCACCTTCAACCACTGCAAAGAAAAAGACAGAACTCTCCCTGCCCACCAACTGTACATACCCAATTTCAAGGGCCCAGCTTGACTCTGTGAGACATCCGTGCCTCCTCACTACCATCAGCAACCAAGGCAGAACCCCAGAGCTACCAGGCAAAGTAAGTCTTTTCATTCAGAAAGAATACCCCCTAAGTGCCATTATTCATCAAAGCAACTAATGGAAGAACATTGTCGCTGTAGGCCAGGGCATACAGAAAAGGAGAAATCCAAGAAATAAGGAGGATCCTTCACCTCCATCTCTCCCTGCCACTTTGGTGACTTCTTTTCTGAGCACTTTTCCCTATGCAGTGACAAAGCAGGACCTGTATGTCTGGCCATAACAACTCTACGTTTGTAATAGAGATTACCGAAACATGAGAAATTCACTTACCTGCAAAAAAAGATTGACTTCTTGGAGTATTTGCCTTATTTCTTGTGCAGCTCGGTCTTCCATCTCTCTTTTACATTGTTCTATTTGTCTGTGATCCACCATGTTAGTCTCCAAATGATGTTTGAGGTTAGTCACCTCTTCTTTCAGCTGGCAGTTGCTCTTCTCCAGTTGTTTGTGGTTCCCACGCATGGTGGACAACTCTTCTCTTAAATCTTGATTTTGTGTTTCTAGCTGCATGCATTTTTTAGACTCTTTCTCCAGCTGCTGAGAAAGGTCAGCAACCTGTAGACAGACAAAAGGAAAAAAAAAAAAAAAGGAACTCAGAGGGATCTAAAAGCATCCAATTTGTGAAAAATTGAGAAAGGGTTGGCCATTGAAACTATAATTATCATCTGCTGACTCAGTGTTCAAATCCAAGTGAAACCAGCCTCTTCCTTTAAGACAAGAACAGCTTTCACAGCATTTCTGAGAGGATTCCCCAGGTTCCCATCCATTCTCAGTCTTTCTGCAGTAGGTCAGGCCACACACCAAGATGTACCAAACTGGCAGCATTTCACCCATAGGGCTAGGTGGAAAAGCACTAGAACTATTCTTCTGTGAGATGCTCATACGCTCATGGGAAGTAAAACACACCCATACCCAGGCACTTCTGGATTCTTCAGAAACAACATGTATCGTCCTCTAGAGGAATTTTTACATGCTGTCAACACAGTCAAGGCTTCATTATAAAACTAACAAGACAAGAAACACACACTTTTTTTTTCCATGACACTGAAAGATCTGTAAATAGTGGCTCAGAACAGAGCTTTCCCTGCACTGTTGGAGAAATACAGTCCCTTTAGGTCTAACAAATATGAGTAATGGGAGAGAAGTAGATAAATGAGTACATGCTACTGAACAGCCAGAGCAACCTCAAAAGCACCTGTGGGAACTCTGCTTCTGGGTCACCATGAGAAGAGAAAGATGGGCTGAGACTGCTACTTCTGAGCATGAACTTACAGAACTACTTCTGCATCACCTCATCACATTGCGCCCTGGGAAGCAACACCACCTTTCAGAAAAGCATACCCTGAACTTTCTCCTGCTCCAGTTGTGCCTAATGTGGGGCTTGAGGGGTGATCTTGGGCAAAGCCAACAAAGATGGTTGTTCTGAGTTGTGGCAGAGTTACTTCCCTCTCTTCTAGAGGAGGAATCCTTCTGTCAGACCTAGAAGATGCTGCCACGGCCTCTAATTGCAGCCAGGCCTGTGCTGGGTCTCACTGCACTCAGCCCTCATCCTCACCTACGGATACAATGTCCTGGTAGGAATGCTGATCTGCCTGTCTTTATGGACTGGCCCAGCGATCTGCACTCTTGGCTGATCCCACTGACTGTCACTGAACTTGTTCTGCTCTTCTTGGTGAGGGCCTGTGGAACAGTTCCCTGTCCCTTGAGGTCATGGGCCCTGCCAGCCTTGCTGCAACTCTTCAGCTCTCCCTTCCTCTACAAAACAGCCTGCCCTTGATGTGCCCTTGCAGATGCTGCTTTGCACATCATGTTTTCATCTTTACCCATAAGGATGACTACACCAGTGTTAGTTATAGTAATCTACTACTGTAACAGTAGAATGAGCATCAAGAAAAGGCGACCAGTTCCAAAAGACAGCCAAGTTAAAAATAAACAACATGAAAAG